TGGGGCCCCGAGGATCTCCAACAGATGGCACCCTCAGGGTTCGTATACCATATCGCCAACAAAGTCTTAGAGAGCAACCGAGTCGGAGGCGCTACGTTAGACCAGCTGGAGCTCGGGGGCCGTCGTGAAAACCACTCGGTCGACTCGGGCACGCACGCAGTAGGAGCACCACATAATGACAGCAATCAATTAAATATGGCCTACATGCGTGGCACGGGCGCGCACATCAGTGGCAGACTCATACATGAGAAGCGCGCGAACAATGACGGCGCGACCACGCATCACGCACGCATTAGGAGGGCTTCAAACGAGTACATCTACACCAGCTCCAGAACGATCTTAACTATTGAGGGCCCTGCGCGCGGCCTACTGTTCCACGGGGCGCTTCTAGACCAGCAAGGGCATCAAGTTCGCGGTAAAGAGGCCTATGCTAAAAAGTTCGCTCGTCAACACCGCGCGAAGTGGTCTAGAAGTACTTGTCAAAGGCGCGGAGCCGCTCGCCAGCAGCGACCTGCCCATGCTGGAGTCTTTCATCGCGCGCAAGGACGCGCGATTCTCGGAGGCACTGCTGACTGGAGCGTTGAAGCCGATCATGTTGTCACCTGCGCTGCCCACGAAGCTCTTCGGAAATTTCGAGTTGCACCTTTTTTTTTCTGGAACTCAAGATGCGCCGACTTAACTGGTTGCAGAGCACGGTGAAAGAGCGCGACAATAACCGGCAGTTTCTCGCAACCGGTTTTGGGACATCTCCCATCGATGGTGCTGTATTCACTGGGGGCGGATCTATGCGCGTTCACGCTCACCCCTGGGCCAGACAGCTGGAGCAGGACATGATTGCCTTGCGAGAATCAGAGAGAGTGGAAAAAGCACGTGGGACTACGGGGGGAACATGTGTAACATTCTTATTGAGGGTTGTAAAGACTTCGCGGATCTAGATTGCGATGAACTTAGAGCTGTATTCTTAAGATCTAAGGACCTTGGGCCCACGGCAGAGCAAGGAGAAGGAAGGGGATGTTCTGCATGCCAGGCGTTATTGGAGGATGGCACAACATGCAACATCAAATGGCCCAGCAAACATGCCCTCACGAAGCGCACTGCAAACGCAGTCGGCGGCGCACGCGGCAAGCTGAATATCGGTCGCGTCCTCGCCATCGCAAACAGCTGCCCCATCTGCGACTGCACGTTTCGGGGCAAGCCCGTTGCTAAGCAGCACGTTTCGGCCAGCCTCTGTCGAGAATGCTGCCCAGCAAAGCAGGGGCGATCTGAAGATGACAGCAGTGTCCCGAGCTCCATGGAATGTCCGATCTGCTACGAGACGCTCGATGATCTGTCGCTTTGGCTCAAAGACGCGCGTGAGCACCTCTCCCCGCCACTGCAACCAGACTTTAACCTCCGTGAACCTCGAGGGAAGTTCATCTCTGACCCAAGATCATTTCTTAAGCCAGCTGAGTGTCCTTGGAAGAGAAGCTTCACGACGAGAATTGGGCACCGCTGCTTCGAGGGCCCAAACGTGTCCGAGGCGCGCAAGGAAGCGACGGCGGGCGAGGCTCGGCTGGCGAGGGACAGGTCCCAGAGCTTCGCAGCTCCAGTGGGTCGGCCCAAGGCGGTGAAGGTCCGGGAGGGGGGGGGGGGGGGATGGAAGGGGCTCGACGACGAGACGTACGGCATCAGGAAGGCTCTGATCGTCAAATCATAAGCTCGAGCCCGCGCCCTCGAACGCGACGCGATGAGCGCTGCCATTCTCGACCGAAAACACAATTTCGTGATCGATTGCAACAGGTCGCACCAGGAGTTTGCGAAAGCTCGGAAAGAAGACCCGACGACGGACCTAGGCTCACCAGCCTCCCAAGCAGCCCACCGCATTCTTCTCGTCTCGCAGAGCTGGCCCGACAAGGGCACCTACACGACTCTCAAAGATGAGGTTTGCGATGGACCATCTCGTCCAAATGGTTCGCACAGGCGGGCCAGAAGTGACTGCAACGCGGGTCAAAGAAGCAGCAGTATTCCCGACATTCGACCATTCAGGGCAACCACCGAAGAGCGGATTCGCATTCAAGTTCCTCGGGCAGGTACTGGTTCCAGACGACGAGGAATACGGAAGGAAAGGCTCGCAACGGCGAAACAAGGCGCACACCCGCTCCGCACCCTCAGCCCGCTAGAGATCCCGACCGCGCAGCTGCAGCAAAGAGGTAGCCGATTCGAGGTCGAGGCCGCGGTCGGGGAGATGGTGCGTCACAGTGGGGCTAAGCTAATGATGAGCAAAGCGCCGAGAGGCAGCCTCGCGCGGAAGCTGATGCCTAAGCGGAGGAACGCCGAATGTACCGCAGCAGCTGCAATACAACATTCACTTGTATCAGAAGTGATTATCGATTGGTGGGAATTCTACGCGACATATATACTGGTGTTTTCTCGTCACCCTCTGAGGCCATATGATGCCTTTCCCGACTCGTCGCCATGCCCCCTTGCCTGGGTCCGCCTCGCTTCTTGGGCTCCTGGGACCTTCCCCAGGCCGAGGCCTAACGGCCGAGGCCCTCGGGGGCGGAGTCGGTATGTTCTTGCGGCGCGGTGTCTGCGACTCCTTTCGTGCGCCCGACGTGAATTCTTGTCTCCCATGAGCCCGCTTCAGCCTGTCTCCTTTGCGCCCTGGGGATTTCAGATTCCTTCGGCATGGCTACGAGGAGTCCTCTACGTTTCGACCTCTACGGGCGCAACCACTTGTATTCTTACCACCTCGATTAGGCACCGTGCTTTCTGATCAGGTGATGTCGTGATCGGGCCTTGCTTGCTGGTAGAGCTCCCGCTGTCGGAGCGTCACCTTGACGTTGCGACAGTGGCGCCCTTCGCCTGTCGGAGCGTCAACCTTGATGTCGCGACAGCGACTGTCGGCAGATGCTCGCAGCTACCTTACCTCGGCCCCTTTTTGCCCGCTTGGTCTGGCCTGGTTAGGCCCTCGGCCAGGACTCGTGCAGCGACCTCTTAGCTATACGGTCATCTGCCACTCTTTGAGTGCACGGTGCTCCGATAGGAGCTGCGAAGTAGAGGGCGATAACGCACAATGTCGTTTACCCCCCCCCCCCCCCCCAGGTTCACGAACACGCCTAGTGACAGAGGTATGAACTGAATGGGTGAGAGCGAGCGAGCGAGCTCCTCCTCCTCCTCTTCCTCTTCCTCCTCCTCCTCCTCCTCCTCCTCCTCCTCCTCCTCCTCCTCCTCCTCCTCCCTCTCTTCCTCCTCCTCCTCATCCTCCGCCTCCTTGGCTGGTGCTCCGCAGAGCGTTTTCCAAGACATCCGGAGGCGAAAGTGGCTTGTGCCCTGGCGACGCCACCCGCCTCCGCTGAGAGGGGGCCGGCAGGTGGCGGCCCCCCGCCGGGAGCGCGAGAGGCCCAGGGAGCCACTATTCTCGAGTCGCCGATCCCAGACCACCGACGAGTCGACATGGGAGTCCGATCTGCAAGAGCCCCCGCGCCCTGCCGAGTCGATTGGGCGAGCTGCCCGCATCTGCGGCGCCTCGCGAGGGTCTTTCTGGCCGCAGGTGCTGTGGGCCTGCGCCCTGCCCGCCTGAGCTTGGTCCGCGGGGGAAGGGCTCCGCATGTCCACCCTGGAGGAGGGGCCTCGGACTGCAATTGTAAATCGGGCCTGTCCCTCCACAGGAGGAGTATCCAAACAACAGTAAAACATAGAATGGGGGCGATTTTGTGTGTTCTATGTTTGAGCACTTTTGGTGTATGTTTGGGGTCTGTTCTATTTTCCGCCCCAAGTCCCCTTGTAGTGGGGGACAGGCCCGACCTAACTCCAGGTGCGTCCTTGCCGACGTCTCGTCCCGAGCCGCCATTTGGCTGCCCGCCGCCCCCGAACACGGCCTCGAGAGGCTGGGAGCGCAGGGAGCCTACAACGTGTCGAGTCTCTCTTCGGAGGTCTGGGACTCCTCGACTTTGGGGTTCGGGGGTCGAACTGCGATCCTCGAGCCTCGAAGTCGAATCCCTCGTCCCTCGTCCTCTCTCCGGGCTTCTCTGGGGGTGGCGACGAGAGGGGTCACGAAGGCTCAGTTCAAACATCGCTTCTCGATCCCCCCTTGGAGGTCCTGGACCCTTTCCCCGGGAGTGAGTTCATCCGGGCCTGATGGTTTTGTGACGAATCCACGGCCTGGCAAGCCCCTTGTGAGACCGGAAACGGCCCAACCAGCCGTGACGCGAGGGGGCCCGGGGAACAACCTTCGATCCCTAAGCTCCAATGATTGCCAATGATATCTCAGCCTCACGTTGGCGCAACAGGCTCCGCGCCCGTCCCGCGCAGGGCGACGTCCAATGTATTAGAGAGACTCGAAGCTGCTAGCCGCGGAGCAGAGCAATAGAACGAGATCTCGATCCCCTCCATCCAATCGATCCTCGACCTCGAGGGACTGCAGCGGCGAACAGTGCATTGGGTTCTGGAGAGAGCGCCTGACGCGAGCGCTCGTGGCACGAGGGCGGCCTCGCGAATTGGTGGGGCCTATACCCATCGGTCGTTGAAAGTAGGTAGTTCGGGAGTCCCAGAACCCAATCTATTTTAGGCTTCAATGATCGAGTTTCTTCACCTTTCCCGTCCTCCTTAGGGGGCGGACGGAACCCAATATATTTTCAACGCTTTTCTACTTCTAGGTTCTAAGTACCTACTTCTTCCGACCGATGGCTAGCCAGAGGCGAACAGCTCATTGGGTTTTCAAGAGAGCGCCTTACGCGAGCTCTCGTGACACAAGGGCGGCCTCGCGAGTTGGCGGGCTCTATACTCGTGTTCGTGGCCCTGCGCGTACGGAGCACACGTCCTCTCTCTGGCCGTAAGTCGGGCGCGTCCCTCTACAGGAGGAATATTCAAACATAGACAAACAGTTAGTAGTCCGGGGACGGTGCTTGGACTGTTTGGGGTTATTTGGGGGTATTTGTGTTGCTATTGCTCGCTGTTCCTCCAAAATACGCGTGTAGGGGGACATGCCCAGCTCAACTCTGGCCCCCCCCGACCCCCAGGGGGCTCCCGCCGTGGCAGCTCTGGCGCGCTGCGGGCCAGCGCCTCCGACGGGCTGCTGCAGGGCGCGGGCGCCAGCGCGCTGGGCCTGAGGAGCGCCCGCCTTCCCCTCTCGGGGAGGGGGCGTCAGGCAAGGGGTCTGGGCATGGAGGGCGTGGTCCCGAGGGGAGCCGGCCCCGGACTTTACTGGCCGTGTTCGGGCCCCTCGGGGCCCGTGGGCTCGGGCACGGTCGAGCACTTGTGTCTGTCGCAGCGCTGGCGAGCGCGCGGCGCGGTCGAAGCCCAAGCGGAGTGCGAGCAGGCGGCTTCGCGCAAGCAGGTGCAAGGTGGGATAGGAGGGCGGCCGCGGAGGGGGGGGACCGTCGAAAACAGACTCGGGAATACGCTACTGAGGTACCCCGAATGTCACCACCTACCAAACCATCCCAACCCAACCCGAAGGCCTCAATTTGCCCTCCATTTCCAGTGCGGGGGGGGTCGGGGAACATCGAAGAAACACATGTGGAACCCTTACCCCCCCCAACCCGAAATTTGGGTCTTCGGATTGGGTTGGGGTGGTCTGGTAGGTAGTCAGAATGTTTGTTTGACGCCTTGTGTTTTGATTTCGTGCAGAATGTCGCATCATTCTTGTACACCTGTCAATGGGAATGCTTCTCGGGTTATAATATTCCGCGCAAGACCCCATCAGTTGCAACACAACGCTGCGAGAACCTCGTCCCACCTCGTCTCCAAAAGGTATTGGCCTTCCTTCCTCCCACTCCGCCCTGGCAACATTCATGTCTGCGCCGCATTTCATCGGCAATGGCATTGGCGTGGCGCGGCGTAACTCGTCGTCAGCGCGAATTCTCCGAGCTGCATGTGCAGAAGAAAACATCTCAGTAAAAACATTGCGATAAAGACTGCGAGGCCGCCCGCGCTGCTGGTATCGGCGGCTCGCCTAACTTTCGCTGACGGTGGTCCATCGTCTTCACATTTTCCCCTGAGCAGACGTTTCCTCAGGTACGCCACAAGTCACTGCCTTTTGCCATCGTCGTCCGTCTCGGAACACTTCGTGCACAGCGTATCGGGCCACCAATAGATAAGTTGGCAGCGGTACGCTTTAAACGTGGACGGCACCATTCTGTTTGCGCTCAGATCTGTTTAGTTTTCACCAGTTGGCGCCCCACCCCCCCTGGTGCCCGCCAGAACGCAAGGGGGGGACAGTATTCTAACCCAGGACCACCCTCCCACCACAGGAAGGACACCCCCGCTGGCGATCCCTCTGGCGAACCCCGTTGGGACCCTCCGGGACCCCCAGGGGACTGCGGTATTCTGGCCCGGGATCCCCACCCCCACCACAGGCGGGATCTCCTCCAGGACCCCCGCTGGCGACCCCCCGGGGCCCGCCGGGCCCCAGGGGGGGATCGGCAATTTGACTCAGGACCCCCCCCCATCATCCCGTACCCCACCCTTCGGGGAAGGGAATACAGGAAGGGAATCGACTTAATTACGACCTCCTTTTTCCATGTTCGTTCTGCAACTTCCTTGAAATTGACGACGACGAAGAAGACGACGGCAGCGTCTCACACACGCTCAAAAGCAGTGTATTTGTGGCGTGTGCCTGGCGTGCACGAAACATTGAACACACACACACAAGGTGTATACTAGCGGTTCCTGGTGCGTGTGTGTGTGTGTGAATGTGTGTGTGCGTTGGTGTGTGTGCTTGTGTGTGTGTGTTTGTTTGTGCATGTGTTTATGTGTGTGATTGTGTGTTTGTGTGTGTGCGTGTGCGCGTGTGCGCGTGTGCGCGTGTTCGCGTTTTCGCGTGTGCGCGTGTGCGTGTGTGTGTGAGTGTGTGTGTGTGTCGGTGCGTGCGTGGGTGCGTGCGTGTGTCCGTGTTTGTGTGTGCTTGTGTGCGTGTTTGCGCGTGTGCGTGTGCGTTTGCTTGTGCGTGTGCGTGTGTGTGTGTGTGCGTATGCGTGTGCGTGTGCTTGTGCGTGTGTGTATGTGTGTGCGTGTGCGTGTGCGTGTGCGTGTGTGCTTCAGCATGCGTCCGCATGTGTGTAAGAGGGAATACGCGGGTGCGACTCTGGCGGGAGAAGCAAACGGGACCCCACCTAGCATGTGTGGAACGAAGGCCTGGTCATTGAGGAAGGCCCTGGAGTCCAGGACCCTTCCTTCATGCCAAAGAGTCGCATGACTAAGCGTAGAGTTGTTGGAGGCTTAGGTCGGCGCTGAACGGGTAAGCAAAGCTCAAGCGGTGACCACACACAGTTCGGAGTTTTACCCGTGTTCGAGCTTCAAATTCGGATCCGATGGCGGGTGTCAAAGGGCATTGCCAAGACGCCATCGCTGCTGCCTCCGCAACCTGTCTCAGGTACGAGAAGCCCCGACGACGTGGGTCGGCGCTGGACCCCTCCCGTGCGCGATCCGCACGCTGCGGAAACAGCATGCTGAGGGGGGTCCGGCGCCGCCCCAAGAAAACCGCACGGACCTCCGAGAGTTCAGAGTCAACGCGCATGGTAAAGCTGAGTGAACGTTCCCCATGAAGCCCCTGCATCCTTGCCCCCATCGGCCCAGACTCAGGCCAGTTCTGAGGCAAAGACCTGGAGGTCCGAGGGGCTCACACAGCTGCTTACCGCGTGCCCCCCTCGCAAGCGCCGGCCGTGTGTGCTTCACGTCGATGCTTGTCCGCGACGTCCCTCTGCCCGTCTTGCCCGTTGGCCCGCGGCCAGGGCCCACCCGCGAGGGCGCCAGAACACTGGTCGCGCCGCGCGCCTCGCGCTCCTCCTCCTCCTCCTCCTCCTCCTCCTCCTCCTCCTCCTCCTCCTCCTCCTCCTCCTCCTCCTCCTCCTCCTCCTCCTCCTCCTCCTCCTCCCCCTCCCCCTCCTCCTCCTTCTCCTGGCGGGGCGGGAGCGCTGCCTCCTCTCCTGCTCCGGCGGCGGCGGCCTCGCGCGGGCGCGACGCCTTGGCCCGCGCGCCGTGCGCGGGGAGCGACGCAGCGACGCGCGAGGCCGGACGGCCGAGCTCGGTCAGATGTCGAAGTAAAACGACGCGAAGATCGGGACAAAATCGGATCGGGATAATTCGAAATCTCTGAGAATCGGCGGGTTTGGAGGATGTATTGGGCGCCGCGGCCGCTCCAGAGCGTTCCGGAACGCTCTGAGAGCGCTCCGGAACGCTCTGGAGCGATTTCTCCCGATCCTAGCCCTGTTTTAGGTGCTGACCAGGAGAGGAGCTCGCGGAGGCCTCGCACGGTCAGCGGCCGAGAGCCCCGGGGGGGCGCCCCGAAGTTGGCACTGCGCAGGCCGCCGCTCGTCTGCTGGAAGCACTGCGAGGCCACCAGGCCAGGAAGAGGGAGGGTCGGGAGGGAGCAGGCAGGAGGAGGACGGAGGGGGAGTCGGAGGCGGAAGAGGAGGAGAAGGAAGAGGAGGAGGAGGAGGAGGAGGACGGAGCAGCAAGGACTGAGGAGGAAGGAAGGATGAATGAGGAGGACGGAAGGAGAAGACAGAGGACCAGGAGGAGGAGGAGGAGATAAGCATACGGAGGGAAGGGAAGAGAAGAAAAAGGAGGAGCCGGACGACTAGGAGGAGGGGAAGCAGCATGACGGTAATGATGAGGAGGAGAAGGACCAGATGAATGAATTGGACGATTACCGACCCATGATCTCTAATGTTTTCCCATTCGGCTTCCGTTGTTGGATCCTCGTTTTCTCCTCGCAGTGCCGAACGTCTTCTCTCCCCCCTCTTCTCCACGTCTCTGTTGCTTCGATGCCACATGCCGCCGCCACCGCCAGCTGATTTGCCGCTCCGCATCAATTCGGCACACCGCTTAAGCTGATCGTACCCAATGAGGCTCCACCTAATGCCTCAGGGGGTGCGTTCATATAGCACCACCCCGCCCACTTCGACAAAACAATCCTTCGTATCGCGGCACAAAAGGAGGATCTCCACATACGGCCCAGTCAGGCGCGCTCTGTAGCGTCCCCCACCCATTTCGACACACCATCTCCATTGATCGCGCCTCATAGGGAGGCCCACTTACGGCCCCTGTGTGCGCGTCCGCATGCAGGATTTGCTGAATTATGCCTCGTTGTGTGTGTGTGTGTGTGTGTCTGTTTGCTCGTGTGTCTGTGTATGTGTCCGTGTGTGCGAGTGTGTGTGTGTCTGTTTGTGATCGTGTTTGTGCTTGTGCTTGTGTTTATGCTTGTGCGTGTGTTTGTGCGCGTGCTTGTGCTTGTGCTTGTTGCGCTTGTCATTGTGCTTGTGCGTGTGCGTGTAAGCCGTATAGGTTTCCACGGGACCATGTTGGGCCAGATATTGGGGTATATCGGTTCCTGGCAAGGTGGGGAGGACGCCCCACACCAAGATCGGGCCCAAATGGGCCTGTCGCGGCTTGATGGTGGTGTACTGTCCCGAGCGTGCAGTCACAAGTTGCTCCTGCCTCCGACGCGCGAGGAACCATCGGCTGCTCCGTTCGATCCATCTGTTCCTCCGATCGCGGAGCCATCGGTTGCTCCGTTCGGGATCTCCGACGATCGCGCTCTCCCTTAGGATCGTGCAAACGTATGTTGTTCACCTTCTCGTTTGGCGCAGGATGCCTGCAATCCTTCCCGCATTCGCTTCCGCCGTGCTTTTCTGCGACGCGAGGGGCTCTGGGCTCTGGGGTCTCCCTGCACCTGCCCTGGGGCCCGGGGTGCGTTCCGACGGCAATGTCGAGCGACGTCCAAGCGTTGACGTGGCGGCAAGCCTCCGGGAGGCCCCCGAATCCTCACCAGTGCGCAGGGCAGCGCCTTGGAGGGCTAGACGTCGAGGAAGGCTCTGACGCCCCCCCCCCCCGCTCCTCCTGCCCCCCCCCCCCCCCTCGCAGGACGGTGCCGCTCGCGGGCGGACGAGCTCGCCCAGGCTCTGCTCCTCCTCCCCCCTTCTCCTCCTCCTCCTCCTCCTCCATCTCCTCCTCCTCCTCCCCCTCCCCCTCCCCCTCCACCTCCTCCTCATCCTCATCCTCCTTCTCCTCCTCTGGCGTTCGCGAGGTCTGGCCGAGGTCTGGCGTTCGCGAGGTCAGACGCGGAGGTCTGGCCAGCGGCAGTCTGGTCAGACGCCGAGTTCTGGCTCTGGCTTGCCTTGCCTTGTCCGCCCCTGAGAATCCACCGGACAACGCTCAGGCACGCCACACCCCGATGGGTTCTCGGTGGCAGTGACTTATGCTTCTCCTCTGACCCCCCCCCCTTCCCTCCCAGAGCGCCACTGGCCCGCTCAGGAGCGCCGCCACCGGGGTCCGGCAGAAGAAGGCCCCGCCCGCCCTGCGGCCCCCTGCTGAGACCTCCAGCTGTCGTGGGAAGCCAGGGTTCGGCGACCATGCTTCAGGTCCGAGCTCTGAGCGTCTTCGCTTTCGGGCGCGTCTGGGCCTTGCGGGGGGGCGCCTCGTCGCCGCGGCCGGATTCCTCTTGGCATTCCGTCTGGAACGCGCCCCTATCAGAAGGCGAAAAGCCACCCCCGCCCCCAGTCCCGAATCCCATCCCCGAACCCGCGATCCAGTGGGTCGGGACTGGGGGTGGGGGGCGTTTTCTTTATACTTGGACCCCAGAAAGCCACCCCCACCCCCAGGGTCGACTCCCTGGATCGCGGCTTCGGGGATGGCATTCGGGCCTGGGGGTGGGGGTGGCTTTTCGCCTTCCCACCCAAGGCAGCAGGTAAGTTCGGGGGCCGGCGTTTCGCCCCCTATAGGGGGCACAGTCTCCGGTGCGCTGAAGAGCGGGCGGCCAGCCACACTGACCGCAGAGTTCGGAGGCCGTCTCTGGCTCCCCCCCTGGACTATCTCGGTGGCTCACAGACGGGGCCCTGAGGGATGGGGCCCTAAGGACGAGGTGCCTCAAACCATGTGAATCCCCGATCAGTGCTTGCACTGAACGGGTCCTAGCGGAAGTTGAAAGATTTGGCGAAAGTTTCCGCCGATTTTGGTAGCAGGGTTCCCGGGTTCCCGGTTCCGGATTCCCGGGTTCCCGATTAGTTATTGGTCCCGTGCCGATTTCGGTGGATTCTGGGTTCCCGGGCCCCCGGGTTCCCGGTCGATCTCCTCAGCGAAAAGCATCCACTGATTGGGGCTTGTCTCCGGTGTCATTCCACCCTTGGATCCCTTCGTATTCTGAGGTACCCATTCCTCAGGGCACCATCTTTGACTTCCGATCGGTGACTGGAGAGTAGCAGCCAAAGACCCACATTCTTAGAATTGTATGACCGGAGATTTTCTTCACCACATGAGCGCCTGCTAGTTTTCACCCGCCTGTGCCCTAAGCGGCCGCCCCATCGCGGGCATACAGGCTTGACCTTGACCTTGTCCTAATTCGAACCGGGATCCTCCGGGTCACTCGCGGTGGCGCGAAGACTGCCGCGCTCCGCGCGGCGCGGTTTGGGCGCCAGAGCGGCTGCCCTTCTCCACGGGGGGCGGGCGTGAGGGCGCAAGGCGCCGCAAAGATAGCCGCGCGCCGCGCCTCACGGGACGCGCTGCGAAAAGCTGGGTGGCCTGGGGTCCTCTCGGGAGCGGAAAAGAGGGGGGTGATGACTAGGGGGGGGTGGATTTCATGGCGCGGGCCATGATTTTTCCTCAGATTTCCTGGCGCCCCTTCTTGTTTCATTACGTCCCTGGCCCCCTCGCTGGGCCGCGCACATGCCGCCGGTCATGATTTGCACCCCCCCCTCTTGGACACTCCCCTCTTTGCCGCCCCCGATCCTCGGGCCAGAGAGGTCCATAGGGGCTCGGAGGCCTCCGCTCTCCCCCTCCCCGTCCGTGCCCAGCCGGCCGCTCGTCGCGGGCGGTCTCTGCTGGACAGCCCCGGGGGGGCCGCCCTTAAGAGGGGGGCGACGGACCGGGCCAGAGGGCGGAGGAGGAGGAGGAGGAGGAAAAGGTACCCACACTGCCACCCTTCGCCCGTCTTCCCCTTCTTCGGCCTCCTCGGACGGCCTCGTCTCCACTGCTGGATTCGCTTCGAAATCCTGGTCGGAACGCAATCCGGGAGAGGTCCGGGGCGAGGCGGTGTCGGTACCAAGCACCTCCCCGGAGAGCTCGGGTCCAAGACGGCCCAAGATGCCTAAAAGACCGCCTCCACACGGCTCAAAAGACCTGGCAAAGAGCCGACGGGTGGCCCAAGGTGTTTCCAAGACGGACCAGGAGGCGTCCAAAACGATCCAGGGGAGCCCCAAGACGGCTCCAAGAGGGGGAGGCCAAACGAACAATTCGAACTTTCCGCCCCAAGATGCCTTCAAGAACGCCCAAGAGGCCCCCGAGAGGCCCCAAAGAGCTCCCCTAGAAGCGCCTCGCACGCTAGACGGCCGCTAGGGGAGGGCTACGGGAGAGGAGCATCGTCAAATTCCGACGGGAAAATGTGCAGTTCCAGCATGTACGATTTGTCTCCTTTCCGACGCTCCGAGACGGTCGAAGATGCCCCCGAGACAGCGTCAGACGGCCCACGAGATCCCGAAAGAGAGGCCACAGGCGGCCCAAGAGGGCTAGACGGCTCCAAGAGGGGCAGGCCAAACGGACAGTCCGTTTCTTCCGCACCAAAATGCATTAAAGAGACCCCGAGAGGCCCCCGAGGGGCCCCAAAGAGCCCTCCAAGACGCATCTCGCACGGGAACAACGACAACGAAGGACGACGGCGAGAACGACGAACGGCGCCGACGACGCCGTCGAAAGACGACGACGACGGCGACGACGATTGACGAACGACGACGACGACGACGGCGACGACCACAACGACGACGACGACGCCCGTTCTCGGAGTTCCGTCGCAGTTTTCCACGTGGTTCTCCCCAACAAATGTTGTGGACAGGTCTGGTTGGGTCAGGTCAGGTTTTCACGCTCGCCATTGCGCTCCTCGTCAAGTTCTTGCACTGCGAGTTCCGTGGCCACGACTAGAACCAAAGCGCGCGCGAAGCGCGCGCGTGGTTCTAGTGTATATGTATATATAATATATACCAGGGGACGAGGGCCCAGGCCCCGGAACCGGGACATGGGCAACACATGGGAGGACGCGGCTTCCGAAGGGGGGTCTGGGAAGCCCCTGGACGGCCCCATATGGTATCAGAACGGCCCTCGAGGCCGCCAAGATGGTCCAAGATAGCCCTTCGACGGCTTCAGCAATACCCAAGAGGCTCCCAAAACACTCCCAGCAGGCCCCAAGAGACCCCCAAGACGCTCCGAGGAGCTTCCCGTAGCCTTCTAGGCTCAAGCAAGTTCATCTCGAGCAACTTTGGCCCGAGAGGTTTTGCCACTGGAGCATCCTGGATGAGTTGGGATTTCCAGGATGCGATTTGCGGTTCTTTGAGAGGCACAAGGCGCATTGAAGAAGCTCGAAGGCTCCTATAGCCAGGCTCCCCAAATTGAAGTGCCGCAGTTCCCACCACCAACCCGACAGAGGTCCCGAATCATCCGAGAAGTCTTCATGGGGCAACTTGCGGTGCGAGTTCCTTGGGCACGGCTAGAACCTAAGCGCGCGCGAAGCGCGCGCGTGGTTCTAGTATCTAAATATCACACACACACACACACACTTTCTCTCTCTCTCTCTCCTCCCATCCCTTCCCCCATCCTCCTCCTTGGCCGCGCGCCCAGCAGGGGCCGAAGATGGGCGCCTTCGCCCTCAACGCCCCCGCTGGCGAGAGGCAGCTCCTTGCCAGTACAGCGGGCGCCCGGAAGGCGGCTCTTCTGGGGGGTGCGGCAGCAGCATGGAGAAGCGAGGTGGAGCGAGGAGCGAAGAGAAGGAAGATGAGGGACGAGAAGAGGAGACAGGGAAGGAGGAATGGGAGGAGCAGCGGGACGAGAAAGAATACTGCCGAGGGGCGTCGGAGGAGGATGGTCTGGAGAAGAGCAGTAGCAAGAAGGCGCAGTAGGAGGAGGAGAGGAGTGGAGTAGGGGGAAGGAGGATAGGGTCGAGGTGCTTGGACGCCAAAGGTGGAGCAACAATTATGTTTTGAGCACGGCCGTCGTGCCGTATGCTTAAACACACTGGGAGTGTCAGAAAGCAGGGCAACTCCTGACTCTTTGGGGTGGAGTCCCCTTCAAATTATGTTCCAACTATTATGGTCCTTCCCGAAAGTCCGCGTTGCGTGTGGTCCAGCCGTGCTGGAGGAGGAGGGGAATGATGATGATGATGATGATGATGATGATGATGACGATGATACTGATAATGATAATGATAATGATAATGATACTGATACTGATACTGATACTGATACTGATAATCATATTGATAATGATAATGATAAAGATAATGATAATGATAATAATAATGATAATGATAATGATAATGATAATGATAATGATAATGATAATGATAATGATAATGATGCTGATGCTGATGCCGATGCTGATGATGCTGATGCTGATGCTGATGCTGATGCTGATGCTGATTCTGACGATGATAATGATGGTGATGATGATGATGATGTTGATGTTGATGCTGATGTTAATGTTGATGTTGATGGTAATGATGATGGTGATGATGTTGATGATGATGATGTTGATGATGGTGATGGTGATGGTGATGGTGATGATGCTGATGCTGATGCTGATGCTGATGCTGAGGAGGAGGAGGAGGAGGAGGAGGAGGAGGCGGACTGGGGGGGGATGAGGCGGAGGAGGGGGAAGAGGAGGACAAGGGGGAGGAGGCAGAGGAGGCGTGGATGTTGAGGATGGGGGAAAGGCGGAGTAGGTGGAGAGTTGGGAATGAAGAGGAGGCGAAGGGAAAGAGGACGACAAAGCGGGATGAGAGGAGGAGGAGGAGGAGGAGGAGGAGGAGGGGGAGGAGGAGGAGGAAGAGGAGGGGGGCAAAGAGGATGATGTGGGACGGGGAGGATGCGGGATAGAGGAAGGGGTGGTAGAAGAAGGTAGAAGGAGCTCTTTTTGAAACAGCGCGCAGTGTCCTGTGGGAACGACGGTGATTACCTTTGACACCAGTGCCGTATCATCGCAGGGAACAGCCTGATTGCATATGCCCTTCTCGTTGCGTTCGGTGTGTGTTTGTGTGATGTAGGCGATCGCATTTTCCTTCATATTTGGTATCGACATCGTTGTCGTCATCCTCTTCCAGCGTGCCCCATTCGCCCTTCCCGTTTTCGGTGCGCCGAGGCCCCTTCGTCTACGGCTTGCGTGGACTTCATCGCAATGTGAGTTCGAGGCTGATAATCGACTTGCACCGGAGCTTGAGAATGTCTGCGCATCCGCTCAGGTTGACGTTTCACACCCTCACAAATTGTCTTCTTCCCACGCTCTCTCGCTCACACTTCCCGTCCCCCTTTCTATCATGTCCTTGTCTGGCATGCGCGCCTTCATCACTTCGCGCTTACAGCGTATCGGCATTGCAGATCTTCCGTTTGATGTTGCTTCGTGTGCCGTCCGCGCCTCCCGATTCGGAATTGCGCCCTGATACGAGATGGTTCTCTCACCGACACTGCATGATTAGTGGCCGTCGGTGCATCTTGCTGCGGGGCATGGGTTGTGGACCAGAGGCCTCCTCTTGGGACCACCTGGGAGCCTCTCGGGGGCTTCCTGGCATATTTTGCGGGGCGGCGCACAGGCAACCGGGAGGCCTCCTGAGGGCTTCTTCGGGGCCTGTTTGGGGTGACGTTTTTTTTTGCGGTGGCACGCGGTGGAGACCTCTCTTGGGGCCATTTTCGAGGCTTCCTGGCTCTTGGGAAGCCTTCGGCGTTGGCAGCTGCAAAACGCGAAAAGACTGAATTTTGTCAACGGCCACGGGGAAATCAATGATCGAAGACGCCTACGGCGAATCACCGCCGCCCCCTGCCTTTTGGACTCGCCCGTGTGGCCGAACGTTGTGGCCAGAGCTCTGCCGAGCTATCGGAACATTTGTTCCCCAGCCGTTGTGGAAACCCTTCGAGGAAAATTTGGGGAGGATGGCGGGGAAGATCAGGAGGAGGAGGAGGAAGAGAAGGAGGAGGAGGAGGAGGAGGAGGAGGAGGAAGGGGAAGAGGAGGAGGAGGGGGCATGTTGGGAACCCCTGGCAGCACTCTGGGGGCCTCCTGGGGGCCTTTGGGGGCCTCTTGGGACCCCTTTTGCCCGTCTCAGGGCGTTCGGCCTTTTAGGTCGTCTTGGGCCGTCGGACGGCCGAAAATAAACAAATGCCCAAACTCCTCAAACACCGATGGAAACTCAACGATGACCTCGTCGGGCTCCTGAGGGCCTCTTGAGCTGTCTTGGAGGCTTCTCAGGGGTTTCTTGGACCGTCTTCAGCCGTCTTGGAGGCTTATTGGGCGGACTTGGAGGCATCTTGGACTCTCTTGGGCCGTCTTGGAAGTCATCGTGGACCCTCTTGGGCCGTCTTGGAGGCCATGTTTGATCAGATTGGGCGACCTTGTAGGTCTCTATGAGCCGTTTGAGATGCTTCCTGGGCCATCATGATGTCATCTTGGAGGCATTTGGGGACATCTTGGGGCGATCTTGGGGGCCTCCTGGGCCGTCTTGGGCGCGGGAGGAACCACCGGACTCGGGGGACGGGGCCAGGAGCTCTCGGGAGGCGTCGGAGGATCTTCGGTACTCGGTATTTCGCCAGGCGCAGACGTGGGCGGGGGGAGGGGGGAGACTTCTTAGTCGCATCCCTGCTTGGAAGGCGCGGGCCTCAGTCTATAGATGTTACTAAGGCGTGCGCCTTCTAAGAAGCAGCCTCCTTCTGAGAAGGCCTCCCCCCCTCCGTCAAGCCAAGGGACGCACGCAGGCCAGTGTCCCTGGGTGTGCGCCCCGGGCGGACAGCCTCGGCGGCTCGGTCGGCTTCCAGCGGAGGCCGAACGAGCCGCCGCGGCCCTGTGCGCCGCGCATATCATTGCTTGGGGGTTCAAGGTGGGGTTGAAGGCCGCGGCGTCCGAAACATTCTCCAGAGCCGCGGGGTCTCAGAGATTCGATTTCTCGCATGCCCAGGATGGTGAAGCATACCCCCCTTCCGACCAACCTCATGATTATCTCCGGCCAGGACAGTTTTGGTCGGCGGTGGGGAGCGGCGAATCCGAAGTCCATCAGTGCCGGGGCAAGTACCCATCGGGTATAATGTTTCCTAACATGAGTCGCAGATTTAGTATGTTGAGAAGCGAATGATACATCATATTATTAATCGTGAGATGTGTATTACTACGGCTACTACTACTACTACCACTTCTACTACTACTACTACTACTACTACGACTACTACTACTACTACTACTACTGCGACTACGACCTCTACGACCACTGCTACTACTACTACTACTACTACTACTACTGCTACTGCTACAACTACTACTGCTGCTACTACTACTACTACTACTACTACTAATACTACTACTACTACTACTGCTACTACTGCTACTACTGTAAGGACTACGACTGCTACTGCTCCTACAACTACTACTTTTACAACTAAGATTGTTATTACTAATCCTACTGCGACGGCTATCACTACTGAATCTACTAGGGGTGCGAGGACAACTACTACTTGTACTGTTGCTACTATTACTCCTACTACGACCTACTATTACCAATACTACTACTACTACTACTACTACTACTACTACTACTACTACTACTACTACTACTACTACTACGGCTGCTACTACTACTACTACTACTACTACTACTATTACTTCAACTACTTCAAATACTACTACGACTACTACGTGCATTGCATCCGTAACAACTACTTCTACTACGACTACTCCTACCACGGATAATATAATATAACCACTACACTACTACTACGACTACGAGCAATATTATTACTACTACTACTATTAAAATTATGCATACTACTACGTATTAGCTGCGACTCGTTTAACTACGACGGTTCTTCGTATTAGTATTATGATTACTACGACGACTACGACTATTACTATTACGACCTACTCCGACCATTCTACGATTACGATTCACGACTTACAACCACTGCTACGACCGAGCATTTGGACTATTACGACCCCGTACCTAGGCGCAATCTTCCCCAGAGGGCCGCACCGCGCAAGGGGATTCGCATCCGACTGCGTATGATTATTGTTATTAGCAGTGCCCTTACTACTACTATTACTACTACTACTACTACTACTACTACTACTACTACTACTACCACTACTACTGCTACTACTACTACTACTACGAGTACTACTACGAGTACTACTACTACTAATACTACTACTACTACTACTACTACTACTACGACGACTACGACGACTACTACGACGTACTACTACGACTACCACTACTACTACTACTACTACTACTACTACTACTACTACTACTACTACTACGGCTACGACTACGACTACGATCGCGGTTACTTCTACGACTACTATCGTTACTACTACTACTACTACGACTACTACTACTACTACTACCACTACTACTATCAGTATTACTACTACTACTACTACTACTACTACTACTACTACTACTACTATTACTACTACTACTACTACTGCTACGACTACTACTGCTACTACTACCACTACCACTACGACCAACGCTGCTAGTAGTACTAGTACTACTACTGCGACGACCACGAATATTGGCACTGCCATGTCTAGTACTGCTACGACTACTACTACTACTACTACTACTACTACTACTACGACCAGTACTACGATGATTAATTCCTACCATCAATACTTCTTCCGCCACTACTCCTATCATTGTTTCTGCGGCTACTGACGCTACGACCACCACTAGTACTGCTACTAAGACTACGACTTCTACCAGTACTACAACTACTACTACGACGACTACTACTGCCACTACTACGAGGAGTACGACTCATATTGCTACTTGTACTTGTACCACCTATTATTACTACTACTACTACTACTACTATTACTACTACGACTACGACGACGACGACTACTATTACTACTACGACTACTATTACTACTACTGCTTCATACTCTTACCGCCTACCCTGGCTACCACAACCCGTAGCCCATGCCATTCTTGTTGTGTAACGTTTCTTGTCGTAGACCTACTACTAGCACTTCTAGTACAGCTACCATTACTATTACCACGCCTACTACTCCTACTGCGACTGTTTCTACTGTTATTTCGACTATTGCTACGACTGTCGCTACTGCTATGCTACGACTACTTTCATTATTGTCACTACCCGTTCTACGACTATTAGTATTACGACCAGTCGCGCGGCTACGATTACGACGACTACTATTACGATCATTGTTGTTATTGCGATTTCTATTAGTACTGTTACTGCTACCAATACCACTACTACTACTGCTTCTTCGACCCATACTTCTGCAACCCCTGCTACATCAACATGCCCCTGCTACTACTACCAGCACATCCTACCATGAATGTTCACTCCAGCCGTACTATTATTACTATTGCTACCATTGGTATCATTAGTGGATTACTTCTGCTACTACAAATGCTACTCCTATTTTCCGTGTCTACCACCACCGCTTCAACGGCTACTACACTTACGATTGCTATTACTACGGTTCTGATTACCACTACCGATAATTCCCCACTGCGTTTCTGGCGAGTCCCCGATACGACTACTCCTACGATGGATCCGATTACTACGACTTGTACTGCTAACAGTTTTCGGCTTGCTGATACTTATTATTACGTTTGCTACTTCCACTGGTATTGCTAGAAAGCTTACTACAGTTACAGCCATCATTACTACCACTGCTTGTAAATCCGAGTGGTAGTACGACTACTACTACGACTGCTACGACTGTTATCACTGTGGCTACTACCACCAGCACTAGTACCACCACCACCACCACCACTACTACTACTACTACTACTACTGTTACTACTACTACTACTACTACTACTACAAGTACTATTGCGACTCCTGGTGCAACTACGACGACTACTATTACTACTACTACTACTACTACTACTACTACTACTACTACTACTACTACTACTACTACTGCGGTTACTGCTGCTACTTCTAAAACTCTAACTCTTACGAGCACGACCGTTATTCGTATCACTACTACTGCTACGACTTCTAGTACATATTGTACTCCCGCCGCCCACGGGCGAACTTTTCTATCAGTGTGCCCCTTTTATCCCCGAGCTCGGCTTCCTCAGGCCGTGGTTGGAACAGCTTCCTGAACCGATCTTCTCCCAAGCATCTGAAAATAAAGAAAGGGCAGAGGCGTGTGTTGTTTTTTCGGATACCGTTTCTCCCTCCTACCTCCCGCACCCCTCAGCGCAATTACGGTTCGTGTTGCTGCTATTATCTGGTAGAGTTAGTGGGGTTGCGGCGACGGCGACGACGATTGCGACCGCTACTA